TTTCATTATAAATTATTTGAAAAATATAAAATAGAAATGAGTATGGGAAAGGGAAAACTGAAAATTGAACCAATAATTACACAAATTTTTAAGATAAATTAGTATAATATTGGAAAAAAGAAATTATTGATTAGTCTATATTCGAAAATATTAGATAAATTGGTGGAATTCTGAAAGTGAACCATAAAATAAATTATTTAATAACAATTTAAAAATAAATTTAAATAAATTTTCAAAATTACACAACTATAATAAATTTTCCAAAATTTTCATAAATTACATTTTTGAAAATTAAAGACACTTTAGTGTACTTTTAGAAATTTACCATATGGTTGATGCTCAATATATCCTTTTGATCATTTTGTCATCAAATTGAATATTGGGTTGATAGGGAGTGGGTGCCTTGCCTTGGACCTACCCAACATTAGGGACAGGTGGGGAAAATTTGAGGAATTTCCATCCTTGATGAGGAGTGGGTGCCTTGCCCTAAACTCGCCCAATATTGAGGATGGGGCTGGAAATTCGAGGATTCCCCATCCCTAACAAGGAGTGGTTGCCTAGCCTTGAACATGCTTACCACTAGGGACAAGGCAAGGACAAGGGTGGGGTGCTCCGCCCTATTGCCATTCCTATATAATTGTTAATTATTAGTGAAATTAATAAAAATGTTAGCTTTTGTAATTATTTTTATTTGTTTAAAGTCAATCAATATTTCATTTAAAAATAATGAAAATAATAACAATTATTAAAATTACTATAAATGATTAACAAAATTAAATTTAGTAAAAAATATTTGCTCATATTAAATTAACAATAATTATTTTATTATTAAAATTTTAAATATTAACAATAAATTTGAATAGTTTTAGTTAATTGTTATAAAATTTTGGTTATTAATTTATAAATTAATCAATAGTAAATAAAATTATTCAATCTTTCAGATTTTCTCGTGCATCACACATGTCCCTGCTAGTTATATAATATAAAATATGTACTATGGGTGTTATATTATAATATATATTTATAAAATATAAATATATCGTAATATAATGTATCTATATATAAATAAATAATATATATGGAAATATATGTAGGCTGGGCCAGATTTGAAGTATTGGGCCCAAAGCCCAGCCTAAAATTTTGTGGACCTAACATGGGACCGGCTGTGAACATTAACCTAGGAGCTTCCGGGGCGAGCTGGGCTAAAATTGGTCACTCTGGATCTACTATCCACAAATTGTTCCCACTTCCCTACCCACAAAATAATCAAATTCCTACCTGAATTTGGATGAACATTGTTTTCAGTATTTTAACTACCATACCTTTTCAGTATCGAAATGAAAAATATGGAATGGCAGCAATGGCCAGAAAGTGAATGGTCATGTGATAAGCCATGCATACTTCCATGGGAAATGCATAAAGTGTTCGGGATTTTTCAATGTAAACAAGTTATCTATGGAGCAAATTGAGGGCCCATAGTAACCCAATTTCTAACTATTGGATCAAGATAAGAGATACCAATCCAACAACTGATGAATAGGTCCCAAATCGCCTTCCAAAGTACTCCTCTGTTCGGAAAAGAAACCCCTATCAGCGGTTTATGCATTCTTTAACAGAAAATTTTGATAGGATATTGATGTAATCGTTTCTGGTCACGTACCAATTTTTTTTTTTTTGTGATGTATCAATTTTTGGCTAAGTACTTCGTCATTTGACTTGCTTCCAGGTGGCTTGTGGTGAGCTACTTGGTGACGAGCTCCCTGGTGGTGAGCTACCTGGTGACGAGCTCCCTGGTGGTGAGCTACCTGGTGACGAGCTCCCTGGTGGTGAGCTACCTGATGACGAGCTCCCTGGTGGTGAGCTACCTGGTGACGAGCTCCCTAGTGGTGAGCTACTT